CAAACATCCGATTCCTCAAAGCCAAAGCTACTGGGACCAGCTGAGCTTGCTCAGGGAGGAGCTCCTGAAGAATTTAAGACTCTTACTCGAGGAATCGGACAAAGAGACCGATCTCAAGCCGGTGAAGTTGGCGAGATCCCTCTACAGAACTTGCATGGATGTTGGTGAGTTCTAACTCGAACAGTAAAGACATCCAGAAGGCGTCCAGAAATGTCCTATGTCTTCAGGACGTCTCTAGGATTTCCAGAACGTTTCCAAGAGATTTTATGTTGTGAGGCAAGGGTTGATATATTCAATGCAAACATTAGAAAAGAAAAGGGAGAGAAGGAATATATATTAGATTGTGATGCAAATGGTTTGTCATTTTTCTATTAAATTCACATTTTTAAATATTAAAAAAAAGATAAAAAGTCCTTGTTAGACGTTTATAAAATAAAAGTAATTAATCCTTTGGAAATAGATAATTCCATTTTCTATTTTGTATGTTTTTCTGTGATGTTTTTGTTTTATTTATAAATATGACAAGCTTGTTTTACCAATCTAATAATTGTGGAATATTATAAAAAGTTTATCAGAAGAATCAATATAATAGACAAGCAAATATAATAGACTTGAAAACTGAAATAATTAAAGATAATTTGAAATTTTGATAATTCTAGAAATAATTTGAATATTAAGAAATAATAAAAAGAAATAATTTTTGAAATAAGGTATTAGAATAAATGAGAAAAAAATATATAATAATAATTATTAAAATTAAAATAAGAACTTAAGATTAGTAATAATATAAAATAATTAGCATTCGAAATAATATATATGAAGGAATAACAGACACAAAAGTCTTCGAGAGATCTCAAGATCCACTTGAAGCCAAGAGGCATTTTTCGAGATCGGAAAGAAGAGAAACGGCGAGAATTATTCTCTCGCGAATCAACGCTCGCGTGTCGTAAAACGGAACTCCGTTTGTTTTACTTGTTATCGCCAGCGAAGTAAATTATTCATTAATTGTTCGCATTGTCAGGTTGAGAGACGGACGACGGCGCGCGGTGTCATTTACATAAGCGCAAATTCGAAAGGGTAGGCGCTTAACGCGCTTACAGCCGCTTGTGTTGCAACGTATTATTACTGTCGCGTTACTAACAACGTAATAACGCAAATTGACGACTCCATTACCGCGAAGAAGCAGCCGGAACTCGTGCCTGCGGACGGCCGCGCGATCGCGATTATAAATTGGAGGTGTCGGGAAAAAAAACCGACGACGTGGATGATTTAAATAGAAACAACTCGACGACGATTGGTCTGCCGTTACGAGATGCCGAGTAATTGAATGTAACAATGGAGTGCGCGTTACGCGCACGACTCGCGAACTGGGCTGTAAAGCGATTGTTCGCGGCCTCGGCTGTAGAAACGTATTTTGCAAAATCGCGCGTGATATCGAGATATCGAGTGCCGTTGCGTTGCAGCGAACGTCGAGGCTCTGGGACTGGAACCCATCTTCGAGGTGCTCGACAAATTGGGTTTGCCGAAGGAGCCGCCGCTGCGCGGCAAAATACCCGCTGTCGATTTGCCGAGGATAGCCGGCATGGCGCAGAGGAATCTCGGCCTGAACTTCCTGCTTCATTTCTACATCAGCGAGGACATTCGTGACACTACGAGGAATCGCATGATGGTGAGAATACGATTGCATCTTAAGGGTGTTTCCGTATTACAAGTCCCTGCGAAAAGCCATTCGAAATGCGTCATCGTCGTGATTGTCGAGCAGCATTCGTTACTGGCGGAAGAGCGAAATCGCGACACGTCGCGTCCGCGAGAACATACCAAAAGGGAACGAAATCCTTTTAGATGGAGCAAGTGTCACCCGGATTTAGCGAGCGTTACCTGCTGGACCCACGGCGATTCCAGTCGGAACTGACGGAGTACAAGAAGTACATCAAGGCCATGGTCGAGCTCGCAGGAGCTGGTAACATGAGTGCGAATTACGCCAACGAGATTTTGGAGTTCAGTACCAAAATCGCCAGAGTGAGTGCCATCGCGAACTTATTTCATCCATACAGATTCCGTTCTGCTCCGTCAATTTGTTCGTGAGAAATCACACATTTATTATTCCATGTTCCGTATCAATTTTCTAACTTAATTTTTTTTATATCAAGTTAGAAACTAATTTGAAATTAGAGAAGCTTTATTCAGAATTTAAATTATTTAAAATTATTTATAACTTTCGGTTGGCAGTACACGGAAGTAGAAATCAGGAGTTTTATTTAGAATTAGTGACTAATCAGAAGAACTAGTACTTCAGTAGAACTTAAATTTAAAACTAGTATAATTTAAATTTAAAAATTTATTTCAATTATCATTGCAAAATCCGAAGTTATTAGTCTTAACTAACTGCAGTCGGTGACCTACTGCGCGTAATTATTGCGAAATCTACAATTACCGGCCATAAGAAGCCGCAGTTGATGATCGCCCGCGCATATCAACAATGACAATCGTATCGAGTATCTTTCATTTTAGATCACTCAACTTCTAATACAACGAATAATCGTCTTAAGCGCGCGTTTGATCGTTTTCGAAATTCATCCAGATTATGGCAACACCCGAGGAGCGGCGCAGCTCGGATCACCTGATTCACGACGTGACGATCGACGAGCTCCAGGAACTGACCGATCTGCATGTGCAGCAGGTAAGGCGATGTTAAGCAGCGAGTAAAATAACAGTCCGAATCCCGCGGTTAAAGCGGCAGTTGAACAGTGCGGAAAAAAATCATCAGTACAAACAAACAAACAAACATTATCATTATCATCTTTACCATCCTATTACAGCACATCTTCCGGAATCTTATGATTTCTCATTAAGCTCAATGCGTTCTCACGATGTACGTGCGAGGACGCGGCAGCTCTGCCCGATATTTATGCGTATTATCGCGAACAATTAGACTTAGCTGGCCGACGAACACGCGCGAGGAAAAGAGGGATCATGAGAGCTTCGTCGATGACGAAGTGGAGCGACGTGTGCGAGAATCGAGACGATCCTATCTCGCCGAGCACAGCCGAGCAATTAAACATGCGGGACGTGATGTCGTTTCAGTGGAACTGGACGAGGTACTTGGAGGCCGTGTTCGAGAACACGAACGTCACGATAAATCCGGCCGAGGACCGAGTTATCATCATGGACCTGCACTATTTGCAGAAATTACCGTTGCTGCTGGCCACTACGCCGCACGCCACGATAGGTACGTCTGACTTCCGCGCTCTTGTAACGCGGAATCAATGTTATCATTACTAAGATGTTGCTGTAATATCCCACACAACATAACGTCTAAAATCGGGACATAAAACGGACAAAAGTCGTATCTCAGATATCTTAAAGAAGGCTATAAAACGTCTTATGTCCCGATTTTAAGCGCTGCGTGAATAATATCTCAGTAAATAAAATTCTTAAAGAAAGATTTTAAGATTTTTAAAGAAATTATTAAGATTTACACTAAAGATCAAATATAAAATTACTGACGAATTGGTAAATATAATAAAAAAAACGCGCGCAAAATGACTACCAGATAGTACAGAGAATTCAAAAAATTCAGTCGTATGTCACCAATTCTGAGTTTATTTTTAGATGCAAAAAGAATTCTTTTCACTGAACTGAACTTTGAAGAATTTTTTTTTCATCTGAAAATAAATTCAGAATTGATGACATACGACTGAAGAATTCTTTTTTAATTCTTTTTGAATTTTCTGTGCTATCTGAGTAAGGCGCGCCTACACTGAGAGAAAAATGTATGATATTTGGAACTGTAATGACATAGTAAAAGGATTATAGTTAAGAATATCATTTTTATAATAAATGTCACCATAATGTTTATAATATTTATAATATAAATATAGTATAACTGACCTATGTAAAACTTTTACTAAGAATTATAATTATTTGAAATATAAAATATAGTAAGGTAGCAAATATGGAATTGTAAGAGAAATTAACTATTTTATATAGTCAATACAATTGAAATATTTGACAAATATAGGTACATGTAACTATATTCTCAAAGCATACTTTACTATATACACAGAGTAATAAGATGGTGACTATAAATCTGTGTTCATTCTGCTATATCTTCACGTTTGATGAACTATAAATATGTGTTTGAGGCTAAAATAAACTATAAAATATAGTGAGATTATAGTTATTCCAACTATTTTTTTCTCGCAGTGTACTCTTGAGTTGAGTTTAACTCTTTCAGGATAGGAGACACCTTTTGATGCTCTACGACCTTCATACATGTATTTCAGAGACTATCAATCCGATATTCACAAAAATTGGTATATAGAGGTTTTTTGGGATGCTCTTTCCAAATTTGAAGTCAAAAGTGTGAATCATATACGAACCATTTTCGCAAGGGTTAGCACAAATGAGCAGATATGATCAGGTCGGGTCAGATCTAAAAATTTTTTTTCCTTTGTCGGCATTTTGAATTTCAAATATTCGATTTCAGTTCTCGAAAAAGTATCTTTAGAAAGTTTCATAGTTCAAATTTCACGGAAATTGAGTGTATTTATATTATTTATTATTTTTTCCGCCATATTGGGTCACAGAATTCATCTTGGATCTTGGAATTTAAAAAATCTAAGTTCAATGCACAATCTATTGCGACTTTTGTTTTAATGCATCCTGAGCACGCCAAGTGTTTTTGTCTAAATCTTAATTTTATTTTTTAGATTCGGATTCAACGACCCCAAAGACCCATAGAATACGTACTTCCCTATAATTATCTCCCCGAGCAACCTTCCGTCCTGAAAGGGTTAATGTTAATGTAATATTTTTGTGTTATGAGGAGAGAGCCGCACGATCGCCACTCGAGATAATGTACACATTCGCTCGGATCACGAGTCGCAACGCGCCACTTCTCCGTGCTTTCTGCTCTATTACGCCCCTTGACCAGAGAGAGACGCGAGGGAGAGGATCCGTAATGCGATTTACGCACCCCATTCGCGGTCTGCGAATTCACGAGACGGCTTTCGCGACGACGACGATCGTTTCCACCATTGAATTGTGCCTCCCATCGTATTGTCCGACGATAACGTTATTTACATTGCGCAACTTGCATCGCTCTTATCGCGACATTAATATTCCTACGCGCAGGCTGCAGTTCTATCATTTTTTCGTAGTCGGGCTAAATTTAGTTTATTATTCTCGTCGCAATCGGTTATCGTAGACTCGCATGAAAGCTCACTGCGTTTAGACAAACTCCAGATAACACAGATTCCTAAAAGACTAAATAGTATAGGGTCGATTTTCCAATAGCAATTTGAACTTTAGCTTTGTTCATTTATTCATTGTATATCCGAGAGTCCGCGCGTTAAAATTATATATTCTCGTTGTATCTCTACAAACAAGATCGTTGTGGAACGCGGCGAGAGAGTTCAAGCTGAGACTCGTCAATAACAAAATAAACCAATAACACAGCAAATTAACTGAAGCCCGACACAAGGTTGAAGGTAAAAGAAGTACTGCTGCGAAATGCATCGCGCTGAAAGATACTCTTTCCAGATTTGATCGCATTCCTAAAATAATAAAAATCGTAGGAGCAATGTTTCTTAGCAGTACATCGACGATTTGCGCAATCGGCGGCGCGGACATGAATAAAAGACGCCGCGGCCAAATGAAGGGTCACAGGAGTCGAAAAGCTATCGGATCCCATCTGCCCTGGCAGCCGCGTAGTGCCGCGATTGTTTCGCTGCTGAGGAACCGCGTCTACGAACTCTCGCGGTGGTAATGTAATAACGACGAGATAAAGTGTCCGGCCGATGTTTCAGTCCGATTCGTCTGGTGGAACGTGTACTCGACCGTCGCCCCGCTGACGCTGCAGAAGTTCCGCGACCTCGGCTTCCAGTTCTCGCAGAAGGTCTACGGGCTGAAGGAGAAGACGCCGCGCTGGAAGGGATGCACCGGCAACGCCAACGCGAACTTTGGCATGGCGCTCAGCTACGTTTACGCGCAGAAACACTTTAACGAACAGGCGCGAGAAAAGGTTGGCCGATAAAGGAGAAAAGAACATAAGGAGGAAAGCCTGAATGATCGATTTGGAACAACAATCAGCTTTTTGCAACAAATCCTTTAGATTCTCTTGAAATCTGAGTTTTTAGAGACTTTAACGTAACACGACCTTCTCACGACATCGAACGTTAAATATCGAACATTCACTATTGGAGTTGGACTATCGTTCTTTAATTAAATTTCTGAATGATATATCTCTTGATTGAATTAAATTTAAATTAAATTTCCCACAAGGGGGTAATACCCAGGAAAAATCAAAAAGAGATCAAATCGAAAATTAGATTTTCTTGAAATCTGAGATTTTGAAGACTAAAATAACACGACCCTCTCACGACATCGAACGTTAAACATCGAACATTCACTATTAAAGTTGGACCATCATTTTTAAATTAAATTTCTAAATAATATATCTCTTGATTCAATTAAATTTAAATTAAATTTCCCACAGAGGGTGGATAATATCCAGGAAAAATCTAAAAGAGATCAAATCGAAAATTAGATTTTCTTGAAATCTAAGATTTTGAAGACTCTAAAATAACACGACCTTCTCACGACATCGAACGTTAAACATCGAACATTCACTATTAAAGTTGGACCATCATTTTTAAAGTAAATTTCTAAATAATATATCTCTTGATTCAATTAAATTTAAATTAAATTTCCCACAGAGGGTGGATAATATCCAGGAAAAATCTAAAAGAGATCAAATCGAAAATTTTCTCAATAACGTAGAGCAATCGATGGAAAGGTCGAGAGGTGAATTAAGTAATAAAAATTCAAGTACATGTGTATTAAAAGCACAGAAAAGATCATAATGATATTTGATCTAATTATACATTCTACTTGAATAGAAAGATAGCTGGTGACAATCGGGTTATTGATTTTTGGATGTCATCTGTAGGCATTGGAGATGCTGTTGGACATCAGGGCGGCATTCGATGAGATGGTCGCCGAACTAGATTGGATGGATATTGGCACGAGAGCTCGAGCTCATCGGAAGTTACACGCGATGAGGCCGTTCGTAGGATTTCCCGACTGGATCACCAACCCAAAAGAATTGAACAAGTTCTACGATGGAGTAAGTATATTATCTACACGGAGAAAATATCGCAGCAAAAATTACGTCAAGATTGTATTTTTTTTACAATATTTTTTTTAATCTGCTGTATACTGACATTGTGATAACCCAGACAGCACAATCTTTCAAAAAATGTCTTAAAGACGTCCAGAAGACGTCCTATTTCTTTTAGATGTCTTTAGAACGTCTTTAAGGCATCCTTTTAGTAATCTGTCTGGGAAAAACTTACTACAGAAATAGTAAATCTGACTAGATTTCTCTACTGAATATACGATTCACGAATATAGCAATTTTAGTCATAAGTTCGGCACGATCTAAGTTTACAAAATTGTCATTTTTTTTACTACAATATTTTCTCCCTGCGTATATCACACGTTTATCGTTATTCAAATCATATCGAAGAATCGATTGGAAAATTCACAACTCTCTTATCTCGCTGACGAATACTCCGAATCGCAAGATTCTCCATAAATTCGCTCATTCTCGTTTATAGGCAGAGGTGATCGATGGAAAATTATTCGCGACTTTCCTGAAGCTGACCAATGTGAGCGTAAAGAAAAGTCTGAACAATCTGCGCCAAAAGCCTGACAAAAACCGGTGGATATCAACAGGCACGACGGTAAATGCGTTCTACAGCGCCATACTGAATTCAGTCAGTAAGTAATTAATTATTTATTTGCAACGACGATATTATTGATGTATTTATATTTTTATTAACTTCGCGTCTCTCTATTATCGTTCGTTCTGCAATATCTTAATTTGATCTTCCTTGAAACAAATCCCGTCGTTAAAGAAGAAATATTATCGTAGCTTTCCCGGCTGGTATCCTGCATCCACCATTCTACGGCAACGGATTAGAGTACGTACTGTTCATATTTCATAGATAAGAGAGAGAGAGAGAGATTTCCATGTACTCGTATCTTTTTGGGATTAAAATATATTTAATTTTGGAAATTCTTATTGCTTTGGTCTTGAAACACGAATATTTAAATTTTCAACGTAAAATATATCTACATATATCGAAAATACATATATATATCGAAAATACATACATATATATATATATATACATATATATATATCGAAAATACATATATATATATATATATATATATATATATATATATATATATATTTTATGTTGTAAACTGAGGTATTCGTATTTAAAGAGCGAAACATCAAAATAATAAGAATGTCCAGAATCCAGAATCGAATATCGGGGCATTGGTACTTTTGCCTTAAATAATTCTCGATATTGACTGCTATTTTGTACTGAATAATTTGCACGTTTCGATTCGGGTCGCGACACACGGAGTCAAGGATACACTTCTCACCAGAGTGAGAAGAGAGAGTTCGGAAGAATGAAGCTATAAAAGTCTCGCGCGGGCGACCCGAATCACTCTTTATCGGAAGCTGTTAAACTCCAACGTCGCGCGTTGCAGGTCCATCAATTACGGCGCTATGGGGGCTATTATGGGCCACGAGCTTACACACGGTTTCGACGATCAAGGTGCGTGTTCGGCGACGCGACGCGTTGCACAACGTCGTTAAACTCATCTCCTCCGTCCTCGGCGCGCGGAGATGCTTGCGTATCCATAATAAATATCCGGAATTACATGATTCTTTCTTTCTGTCTCTCTCTTTTTCTACGTCAGGTCGCAGATACGACGAAAACGGCAATCTCCGGCAGTGGTGGAGCGACGAGACGTTGCGACACTATCACGAGAAGGTGCAGTGTATCATCGAGCAGTACAGCAACTATCATTTGCCGGAGCTGGGTGATAATTTCACGGTGAGTATTGGGGCGCAGGGGCTCCACCCTCGCGCTGCTTGGCAGCGTGACGAAGAAACGTGCCAAGGCAGGCGTCCGGCTAGGTGTGCTCAGCCGCTTGGCTCGCTGATTTTCAGGTGAACGGCATCAATACCCAGGGCGAAAACATCGCCGACAACGGCGGCATCAGGGAAGCTTACAGGGCGTACCAGAGACTGATTGCACGCAGCCCCTACCAGCAAGTTCTGCCTGGTCTCGTCGACTATAGCAACGAGCAGCTGTTCTTCTTGGGCTTTGCTCAGGTAATAGCCACTTTCACGATATGTAAGAGCCATGGCGCGTAGAAATGTTTGAGAAACAAGGAAATTGATCAATCACTGTCGATGATTTTTGAGCTGTAAGGAACAATCTACTTGAGTGCTTAGTCAATTCCACTTACTGCTCGCGTTTTAAAGCCTGTTCCTTCCAGTTCAACTGGAACTGCATTAAAACTAAGTTCTTAGTCACTTCAACATTAAGTTATGTACTTAATTCACTTTAAAGGCAAAACTTACATTTGTAAGCAGCTCCGAATGATTTTAGTATTAATGAAATATTTTAACTTGTATAGGAAAAGTTAATAAGGTTAATAAGTTAATGCATACCAAAATAAGTTAAAATCAATTTTAAAATAACTAATTTGAGAGTTAAGAGTTATTCATTTTTCAACTGATTAGCCAGTTATTACTCAATCCTGTATATTAGTATATCGAATTGGTATATTGATCAAAGTGTAATTAGACACTAACTGAAATTAAGTGATACTATCTCGCGCAAAGAACGTAAGATAATTCGCGAGAAAAAATTACAAGAAATTCGGGTTGATCTTGATATAACTTCGCATATACAGGTAGAGGAGCTCGACGAAATAGATACTGTTTCGAAATAACCGCGCACGCAGTGATTCTTTGTCAGACTAATAAAAATGTATTTACAAGTAAAATTTACACGTTGAACGACGAAGGTCGTTTACACTATGTATCTCATGATACCACTGTTACATGAACACTAATCTCCTTCAAGGTCTGGTGCGGAAATTATACAAACGGAGCGTTGAAGTCCAAGGTGATAGAGGGCGTCCACGCGCCGAATCACTTTAGGGTAATTGGCACGCTGTCGAACAACGCGGAATTCGCCAAGGCGTGGAAATGCCCGCTCGGTAGTCCCATGAATCCGCCGCACAAGTGTATCTTGTGGTAGATGTTTCTCGCAACGTCCATTCATCGCGATCATTCACGCGACCGAATCCGATTTCTCAGATTTCTTATAGAAATATCCGTGCAGACACGCGTACATGTATATAGTATTGAAATGCGTTATTCATTCCCGGCGATATTAAGATTCCTGATCAGTCACGGCCATATTGGACTGATGACGTGAGAAAAACCAAAATTCCTGCAAACTACGGCTAGATAAAAAGATGTATCATTAAAATGGCACTTGCAATCTATTCTACATACTTGTGAAATGCTCCAAATAAAAAAATACTTCCTCTTTTGCCCAAATAACTATTAAATAATCGCAAAATAAATGTAACAAATTTTTGCTCCAAATAAAAAAATACTTCCTCTTTTGCTCAAATAACTATTAAATAATCGCAAAATAAATGTAACAAATCGTCTCGTTTTGGTGGAAAATCAACTGCGATGTCGAATATGATCAAATGTCTACTTATACACATTAAATAAGCACAGTATCAGGAACATTTCCAAAATTGTATCACATGTGATATGTACGTATTACGCTCAGTAACAACGCTGTGGTTTGCAGGAAAAAATTGGTCGTCCTTTTACATCATTAGATCTGTTAGTTTTCGATGAATTTTTGCACTAATAAGACAACTATATTTATATTTTCTTTCAAAAACTATACGTGTATTTTCTTTCACTCTAACTTTCTTATTGCAATAGTTTGCAGAAGTTCTTCGGAAACGAACAGACCTATTTTCTCACTTAATTATTTTGTCGATTACAATCGTGTCGTCGCTGTCAACGCGGAGTTCTTGGCCGATCAGGAGCCTTAATTTAACCAGATATCGATTCTGTTAACTCTCAACTAAATTTCTTTTCAGTATAACGACCATTCCTATATTTTTTTCTATAAGATTACATGAGAAATCGACCGCGATGAATCGACGAGCTAACAGTGTTCACCGTCGCGAACCCACACCGTGAATAATTTCTAGACGTAACAATTGGTGCGGTGATAACTCGACGAAATTGTAAATAGACTGATTCGTAGGAACTAGCGAGTAATTTATTACGCACTTAGACGATACTCGTAGTCTTAAGTTTATCATATGTAAATATATCACATAGAAAAGATGATAATTTTTATAAAGAGATTACTCTCTCAATTGGCTATTTATTTCAATTTATTTCGTCGTTCTTTCCTTTTCTTTTTTGACACAGCCTCTTCTCCTAAGGAGTTCACCTTCTTCTTCTTTTTCTTCCTAGGGGGTGCGTCTTCAGGATCCATTGTCATTGGTACTTTTTCTTTGTACTTTACGCAAGCGACAGACGACTGTTTCATTGTGTCGGTATTTTTTATTTTCTTTGCTGGCGAAGTGCTCTGTGGAATGGTATTATCCTTTTTCCTTTTTTTAATTAAAACTTTCGGGTTGTTTGCCTTCAAAAGCATCTTCTTTTTGGGCTTATTGATAACATCTTCGTCTTTGTCGAACGATCTGTCTCTCTTCTTCTTCTTCTTTGTGACGTCAGTCTCTCTCGATTTTAAAACTTTCTTCTTGGAATCCTGGACATTGTCCTCTACATCTTCTACGACTCTCTTCCTTTTATGCTTTGCTTTTATCTTTCGAACTGGGATGTCCCCGGTTTCCTTTTCACCCTCGTCCTCAATGATAACTTCTTGTTTCAGTCTTAGTGTACTCTTCCTCTCTATTTTCTTCTGCTCCTCCAATTCTTCTTGTTTCGGCTGCACGAAATTTTCGCAAGACTGTGCTAATGCGAGACAAGTGATTCTAGCGCCGCAATCAATCCTCTGCAACATATCCAAACTATGTTTGTTGTACTTCCAAAGTTTAATTTCGCCGGAACTGGAGGCACTGACTAACAGGTCGCTCATGTTCGCGATACATTTCACCCTGATGTCGTGCGCCGCCATCTCCAGCGTTTCCTCCGAAGTCCTGAGGTCACAGAACTTGATCTGTCCATTTTCGAAGCCGACCGCGATCAGATTATCTTCCAAGAAATTCACGCAAATAACCTTTGAGTCAAATGTGAGTTCACTGTGCACTCCAGCGGTTTCCACGGCATATACATCTATCTTCTGATTAATGGCTAACAGATACTTATCGCCACTCGGACTCCATCGGATAATTGTTATATTCTTAGCATCATATTTCAGCCTCGGTACCAAATTAGTCGCATAGGCTTGCCTGCCTTTAACGAGATTCCAGGTCCTCAGGACACCGTCTGTTCCAGTAGACAAGGCTAACTTGCCCGTGGGATGAATAGCTAGAGCATTAACAGCTGAACCTTTGTGTGCCTTCTGCCAGTGCTTCTCAGTCTGCCAATTACCACAACGAACAGCTGCTATACTTCCATCATTACTACATGTGAAGAGGTGCGATGCTTCTGGAGTAAACGCTATGCAATTGATGGTATCTGCAGAGAATATGGCAGAATTGTTATGCATAAACTATGATATTCCATGTTTATGACATAAATCATATACGAGATATCATTGGTGTAGACAACAGTCTATGAATGTCGTTGAGAGAACGTACGGTTTGTTAAAAAATAAAATGAGGAAAGTTTATATTTTTATTTAACTTGTAGAATTCTAATGTAAATTTATAAATGTTGTCTTTTTAACAAGTTAGAGTTTGCAGAATTCTCTCTGGTATCATTCTTACTTCTTCAAAGTTAAATCTATCAATCTACCATATGAAGTAAATGCATGCAATTTATTTTTTTTAAACAATATATTTATGATTAATATTCAAAATAGATACTGCTACTTTCATAATTTAATTGCTCTTCTGCATATTTCAATAAAATTTACAATATTCTAGTAGTTCACTTTTTCTACATGAAAAGTAATCATGTATATATCGCATGGACAATTTATGAACAATCCATACAGATGTAATCTTAAAATCTATAACATAACCCTTATATATGGTACATGCAATTAATGATATCTATATTGTATATATAAATTTATTTACGTACCATTGTGAAACATTAATTTGCCGGACTCTCTCCTGTTGCGTAGATCATACAGGCATACTACATCATCAGCTCCGGCAGAAGCTAAATAGTGTTTATTGCTAGCAACACTGCGTATGCTCGCCACGTGACTGTGCGTTGCAAAACTCTTCTCCACTTTGTATTCCTTGGAAAAAAAAAACAATAAATATAAGTTTACCTGCTTTATATATATTTTATTTCGTTGTTATGTTGTTTGTGCGAAAAATTGTGAATCGTATCACAACACGCGACATAACTCCATACGGACTAAATAATTTGTACGTGAAATTCACTTACATTCACGATGTTGTGCATCGTGCATTGCACTCTGTAGCCGAGCAAATATTGCTCGTACGTCCCTACGATAATTTCGAAGAGATTGGGCATTCCTGAGTCAATATGCGGCATTTTGTAACAATTTTATATTCATTAAATTCTAATAAAATAACTATTCTACGATACGCAGCAACACACACATGTACGACCGATTCAACATCACTGAGCGCCAATGCAGTGATGAAAGGTTTGAGAAAAATAGCGGATCATGCGCATGCGCGAATGACATCACAAGCCATGTGACCGAATCGACAGACTCGTACTTACATGATGTGGCAAACGTTTCTTGGGGCACATGTAATTTTTCAGTTGTTTTGTTAGTGTAAAAAAATTTAATGAGATACATAAAATGTTTTATTGTGTATTCAGTATTTATATTTATATTATAGTAACAATGTATATATGGCATATATATAAGAATGTATTCAATTTTAATAAATAAATAATAGAATAACAGAATATTGGTAAGGTTTCCTGCAGTTTCCCTTACTCTTTCAGCAAACGCTAGTATTCATTATGTAAGTCGGCTGTAAACGCAAAAATATAATAAATTTTATTATTTTTACATCTTTTTAGTATTTTTCAACATTTTCTTTGCCTTTGTTGAAGAGACCATAAAAATACCAATATTACGACGATACGTATACGCTACTGATACCTGACACGCTTGGTTAAGGCCATCATACACAAAATTCCGTAAGAACTTAACGTAAGCGTAAAGAAATCGACCAATCCCAATCGAGCACTCGGCTCTTCGTAACCTCTTCATTATTACGAAGAGCCGAATACTCGACTGAGATTGGTCGATTTCCTTACGCTTACGATTTAAATTCTTATGGAATTTTGTGTGTGATGGCCTTTACTGCGCATGCGTCCCAAATTCTCAAACCCTAGGTCTGTTCTTTTCAGCTGCACTATTGCACTGGTGCAATAAGGTAGAGTGAGACAAATATATTTTATTTCACTTTAGCTTATTGCACCAGTGTAGCAGTACATTTGAAAAGAATAGACCACTTTCATCACTGCTCTCTGGTACGACTTAACGCGGTAGATTTGAATAAATTCTTATCTTTCAAGTAATACGAGACAACGATAAATCAGATAACCTTTGTTCAAATAATACTATACAACAGCAATAGTTAAAATATATATTTTTAGCAAGGCTGGATAAATTAATATATAGTTTTTCAACTACATTTTAAGTTTAAAGCTAATAAATTATAAAATTAATATCACTTGATTAAATTAAAATTGAATTAATTTATTAAAATTAAAAGTTTCTAAATTAAATGTTTCTTTCATAATTAATTTTTTAATTATAGTTATACTATATAATAATTTAACAAACTTCTGCTGAAAATATTTTTAATTTTTCTTATTTTACACTGTAAGTAGTCCGCAATGATTTTAATATTTATAAATTATTTTAATTTACATAAAAAACTCCATAAGTTAAAATCAATGTGTTTTGAAATAATTAGTTTAAGTTAAGAGCTGATTTATTTTAAATTAACTAAATTAAGCTAAAAGTTATTAACTTTTTAAGTTTTTAACTTAACTTTTAAATTGACTAACTAGTTATTAGCTAACCTTCATTTTTTATTTTAAATAAATAATACTATAATAATGTAACAATATATGTGTCGGGATTTCTTCCCATAAAAGTAATAACATATTAAATTATTTCTGAACTGATATTGTCGGTGCAATTATAGAAGTATGAGGTTTATAAAAAGCGGGTAAATATTTATATAAGATAAAAAGATGATAAGACGACCGATGTCTGTATAAAACACTTCGGAAATGTGAACTGCATAGTCATTCAGTCGGTCGTCATCTGCCCTAATTTCATAGATTCGTTAGTGTTGTTGTTTTTTACGAAAATGTTAGATGCAAAAATCATCGATATTGATGTGAAAGATATTAGATTTCCAACATCGTTATTGGCCGATGGTAGTGATGCAATGGTACAGATATTTATATTATTATATAACTTATACAATAAAATATCTGCCACTTACAGCAAAATAGATATATAATAGTCCGCCAAATAGATATCTCAATAATACAAAATAATTTATATTGCAATTGTTATAATGGAACTTTATTTATCTCTATGTATATGACTTCTATACTTATGGATTACTTATATATAGATTTATGTATAGATCATATTTCTTATGTTAATTACTATTTACAATAACAGCATACTGATCCTGATTACTCGTGCGCCTATATAACAATAAAAACCGATAAGGGGCACGAAGGTTACGGCCTTACATTCACTCTGGGAAGAGGCACTGAAGTTGGTACGCATAAGTAAACGTTAGAAAGCACACACAGAGAGAAATCTATTATTAATATATAAATATACACCTAGTAAGGAAGATATACTATATCTTTATATTTATCTTTTTAATTTTTCATAATAAGAACTTTCCTAATTCAGTGGTGCAAGCATGTAAGTCCATGTTTTGGCTGGTGAAGAATCAAACGACGAGCCAGATCTACGCCGATTTCGCGTCATTCTGGAGGAAGTTGACGAGCGAGTCGCAGCTGAGATGGGTAATGTAAATTGTGCGACACGTAAATACTCAATAATTAAAGCGCAATAAAATAACAGTACACTTTTCATACATCAGATCGGACCCGAGAAAGGTGTGATCCATCTGGCTACAGCGGCTATCGTAAACGCACTGTGGGACTTGTGGGCGCGCATCGAGGGTAAGCCTGTCTGGAAGCTCCTTGTGGACTTAACACCTGAGCAGCTCGTTTCTACTGTAGACTTTCGATATATGTGAGTTGAACGTTTTTGCACAAGTTGCATTCGCACACTCCAAAGATTTTGAATATTTATTTCTATTAAATACAAATAACACATTAAAAACAATTTAATATGAATTTTCTATTAAAAAATATTATTCGATACAAAGTACCGACGTAGTGACCAAGGAGGAGGCGATAGACATACTGAGGAAAAACGAGCCGTATAAAGAGAAACGCGAAGAACTTTTGAGGAGAAATGGATATCCCGCGTACACGACCCAGGTGGGATGGCTCGGCTACAGCGACCAGAAGGTGAAAGATCTCTGTGCGAAATATCTGCGCTTGGGTTTCACGCGCTTCAAGGTGAAGGTGGGTCAGAATCTGGAGGACGACGTGAGGAGATGTCGTTTGGTGCGCGAAGCGATCGGCTACGACAATAAACTGATGCTAGACGCGAACCAAATCTGGGACGTGAACGAGGCGATCGAGTGGATGAAGAGGCTGGCGGAATTCAAGCCCTTCTGGATAGAAGAGCCAACGTCGCCGGACGATGTCTTGGGACACGCCACGATCGCTGCCGCCTTACGACCGCACGGTATCGCGGTGGCCACCGGCGAGATGTGCGCGAATCGCGTTCTCTTCAAGCAGCTACTGCAGATGCGAGCGATCGACATCTGCCAGATCGACTCGGCGAGAATCGGAGGAGTCAACGAAATCCTATCGGTGTATCTCATGGCAGAGAAAACTAAAAGTAAATTTACAATCAACAACAATCCTAGTCATTGGATCTTAACATTTCGGACTGATCAAGGCTCCTGGCCAAATAGACAGAGATGCTGAACACTTATGCATACATAACATACTAACATTCAATGCATATTCTATGATGTTATTGTAACAGCATGTGTTTAAAACAGTTGTTTTAAGAAATACGCATTTATTATGCCATAATTTTAAGTAAAACATTTGCTTTTTATTAGTATATAATAATTCTAAATTAATTGCGTTTTCTTTTTGGCAAAATAAGTAACAATTCTTATGACATTAGAATATTGCTGCAATTTTCACTTTAGATGACTTCTTTTATATACTGATAAAATCGCTACAAAGTATGTCAAAAAAGATACATCCAAAAAATGGCACTTACAATCGATTAAACCCACTTCTAAAATACTCCAGATATTTTTCTTTTACTCTTAATAATCAATAAATAATCGTAAAATTAACATGATACGCCTATATTTCCTCATAATTTTGTTCACGTTAGTGCTACGATTATTAATTAATTGTGTAAAAGCAAAATGTTCTGAATACTTTAGAAGTATGCTTAATCGATTGCAAGTATTATATTTTGAATATATTTTTTCGACATACTTAGCAGGAATTTTGAGTATACATTTCCACATTTCTAACGTCATCAACTAAGAGTAACGCGATGAGCAGTTAGGAGCCTTGATTGATGTGAATTTGGTTCTGGATTTTACTTACTACAAAGAAAAAACCTCACACGAAAACTTCGCTCGATTACAGCACCGATCTGGCCGCACGCAGGTGGGGTGGGCCTCTGTGAGATGGTTCAGCACCTCCAAATGTGGGCTTACATTTGCCTACGCTCGTCCGTCGAAGATTGCGCGATAGAGTTTGTAGATCAACAGCATGAACACTTTGAGGATCCTGTGCTTGTTAAGAATGCCTCCTATAAGTTGCCTACACTTCCTGGGTATTCAACTAAGCTCAAAAACGATTGCATCTTGAATTATACTTATCCAGAGGGTACAAAATGGAAGTCAACCAAGGAAGGATCTTTCAAAAAATCGTTAGAATAAAGTAAAGACATTTCTTATGAGTCAACACATGTACATATATAATTTGTATTATACATATATAAAATAAATACATATGTAAAATAAATACATATTAATTAAAAAATAATGGTAGCAAAAATAATCTTAGTAAAAATCACCTCTAATTTTTGGCAAATACCATAAATATCTTTTCTCTTACCATATTACATCAAATGCTTCATGTTACGATTATTGTATAAAACTGCTATCTTTATTATGAAGAAGAAATGTAACAAGTAAAACTATAGCGATAATTGATATTATTTGCGGCCTTCCAGATGAGATTTGACATAGTCTGTCTGCACAGAAAAAGATGATAATATAAGAAAGACTATAATATTTATCATAAGTAAAATTTGTTTTTGCTACTTACATTTACAAACCAGTAGGTCTTGGGATTAAACATCACTTTTCCCAACAAATTCATTTGCTCTATTGGGGAAATAACATGCAGATGTAAATGATTGACAGTGTTAAATGGTGGCCAATGAAAGCCTGTTCGAGTGGATACAGGATCAAGACCCAATTTTTCTGAGATTATATCTACAGTGGCAACAATTTTATTAACTGAAATTTAAATACAATGAGAAAATGACAATGCCTCAGGTATATAATTCTTGTAATTAAGTAAATTTTAAAGAAACATATAAAAGCTCTCAAACCTCTAAATGCATTTTTTTCACAAATTTGTGCAATAATTTGTTGAAAAAAATCAGCTTGGATATATATTTACGGTTGCATTCCAAAACATCTTTTTCGAGGAAAATTTTACTCTTAAATCTATAGTTCATGTTACAACTATAGACTTAAGAGTAAAATTTTCCTCGAAAAAGACGTTTTGGAATGCAACTCAGGATAATATTGAAGAAAACGGACTTCTTCACCAATTTGGCTAAAATCTTATAATATTGTGTATTTTAGTACATCATTTAGTACATCATTTAGTACATCATAGAACAAACAATATCAATGTGACAATAAAATAGGGTTAGCTTAGATTTTTTAGCTCACCAAAAATGTACTTTTCCATTTCTTTATTACAATATAAGAGTTTATATTTTTAAATATTTTTACACCACATTTGAAATTACGCGCGCTTACGTCACGGTGCACGCTCATGCCTGTGCACTAGCTGCGTTCGACATTAGGCCTGTTCTTTGTAGCTGCACTGCTGAACTAGTGCAATAAGTTAGAGTGAGAAAACGTATATTTGTCTCACTTCAATATATTGCATCAGTTCAGCAGTGCAGCTACAAAGAACAGGCCTATTGTAAATCCTTCCTTCCTTCAATATTTGGCTAGAAGCGTATCAGTGACTCATGCCCCAACGCCATTACTCATTCGACATTGTAAATCGGAGACGTTGGATTGCTCTTTCATCTCGAAGATGCATAGAAATGAAAAAGATACAAGATCTCGTATCTTGCTCACTTCTATGCATTTTCGAGGTAAAAGAGCAATTCGACGTCTTCGATTTACAATGCCGAATGTCCCGGCCTAACCGCCGTCACGACAAGACGTGTTCGAACAAGTTCGGACCTTGTGATTTTTTTGGATCGTGTCTTGAAAATTTCCAAGACTTTGCTCTCGAATTATATCATTAATCGGAAACTGGCGTTGGGGCATTACTCTTAGAGAGGCCTGTAGCCAAATATTGAAGGAAGGAAGGAAGGATTTACAATGCCGAACACAACTACTGTCGACATGACAAATCTCTTAACCTTAAAACTGTCATTCTTTAGCATTTTATAACTTTTGTTCTACTCGAAAACAACGATTTTTACTTTTATATTCACGTTTTACGTACTAAAATACACAATATTATGAAGTTTCAAGCAAATCAGTGAAAAAAAATTTCAGTATGATCATATTCTGAAATATATAATATACTTACAAAGTTCGGCATCTTCTGGTTTAAGTTCTTTTGCATTACGTATATGTCTATTTGGTATTATTAAATAATGATGTGTCGACGCTGGATTAATATCTTTAATACACGTAACATCTTCATCCTACAGCAAAACAAAAAATATACGTAAACAACAGGAATTACCAATTATTCGTAATTAATACGTAACATTTCCTTTAGCTTCGTTTCACATTATTTTTTTTTAGCAATCTTTCATTTACTGTAATTTACTGTCTTCATTTACTCATTTACTGTCAACGATTCACGTAACTTAACCTTTCGTACCTCGTAAATTTTCTCACCGGGTTCTTCGTTTTGAATAATTTTGCAGAAAATGCAATTTGCCACTCCTGTAGCCATTGGAATTTATAATAATTAATACTAATCACAATTTTCTTAGGAATAAACCTATTATTCAAACTATTGAAATATCTCTAAATTGCACGTCATCGTAGCACCATGATGAACACTGCGGTAAGTTGATCTTGGATTAGTTCCTTCTAGCTCTACATTGATTTTAGGAGTAAAATTTAGAAACTGATACGTCTGATCTGTCGTTGAGCCATACTACGACCTTCATTTTTTATTAAAAAATAGCAATTCGTAGATATATAACAAGGGTGCGTTCGGAAACGTCGAGGGCTCTCCTTTTCTCTTTGTCTTATTCTTGTATCTTTCTCACTCATACGCAATAGGTAACGTTTTTGAACGTACTCTAAGCAAAATGCCGGCCTGATTATCTTCGGGTTTATCTCTTACTAAACTTTGGGATGTGCCAGCTGAAATTTTTAACATTAGTGCAAAAAATTCAGCTGGAAGGAGCTGCAAACCTGATATTTGTATTTTTTTCTATCATAATATTTTGATTCATGCAAATTAATACCGCCCAAATTAGTACGCCCAATTTGGTACTGATTCTTACATCGAATGTAAATATTGAAATGTAGAGCGAGTTTTTTAATTCATCGATAGATCTATCACATGATGCGTAAATACAGCAAAACGTTGCATTTTCGTATCATGCGATGGATCCATCGATGAATTAAAAAATTTTACCATAAACCTTTACGTACAAAGAGTACTATATAAATTACTAACCTCAATTATCTGTCACTTGGCCAATAGTAGTAATTCAATAACATTCGAAAACATCTACAAAGAAGTTGAAAAGATGATTTTTATCATTTATATAAAATGTGACTATGTGTAAGGTATTTCAACAGAAATATGTCGAACTTCAATGATAGATATAAAGATTGTTTATGTGGCAATTTAACATATGTGTATATATATATATATATATATTTATATTTGTGTGTGGTAGGAACTATATAAGTTTACATAAATGTAGCAAAATTTCAGTTAATACTAATTATTAATTCTCCAGTAATTATTGTAATCAGATTGTTGTTTACTCACTCGAATTAGATTATTATTATTTCTTAGAAAAACTAACATTTTATCAAGATGAAACTACAAGAAGGAATTGTATCAAAATATTTGTACATCACATATGTAATTACATCTTATTGGTAAGTTATCAAATGATATTCAATAGCTTACATATTATTCTATTTGCTTCATCAATGATATTACATTTATATATTATGCAATTGTTAAAATATATAAAACAATACATATAATTACCTCTGTATAGAGAATAATATATAGAATAGAAATATAGCATAGAATATACTGATACATTATATTGCGTATAATAAATTGAAACTATACAAGTTTTAAAATATTTTTCAGGATAGTGTCCATTTTGACTGTATTTGTAAATAAGGCATTATTATCTAGTGAAATTGTAAATCTGGATGCTCCACTTTTTGTAACTTGGTTTCAATGTATAGTGAGCGTAATAATTTCTGTTATTTTACGTAAACTATCACAATGTTTCCCAAAGTATAATCTAGTTACAAGTGGTACCCCATTTAGTATAGATACTTTCAAAAAGGTATGCTTTTTGCAAAAAATAATCTTTTAGCTATTGATACTCTTTTGCAAAATATTAGAAAAAGAATTTTACTCAATCCCAAGAGTTTTGCATTAAAAGTTTCTCACATATAGTAACTAATTTGATATTTAATTAGAATAATAAAAAATTAAAAGAATTATATTTAATGCATTTGCTTCAATATAAGGAAAAATATGATCTCTATAAAGTTTATTTTTTTAATATTTTGTTGTATAATGTGTTTATATATATATCTCAAACTTTTATAGGTATTGCCATTATCAATCTTGTTTGCTGGAATGATAGCAACCAATAACTTATGTTTAAAATACGTCGACGTCGCCTTTTATTACATAGGTCGTTCATTGACGACTATATTTAATGTTGTGTTCACTTATATTTTACTCGGTAAGAGATACTTTGTAGAAACAAATCTGGCCATAAATTAGCAGATAACAATCTAAAGGAATATTAATCAATGAAACACTTATTTAACACAGGGGAAAAGACCTCTTTCAAATGTGTAATATGCTGCGCAGTCATTGTCGGTGGATTCTGGTTAGGTGTAGATCAAGAGCAAGTGGCAGGTTCTCTGTCCGTCCTTGGGACATTTTTCGGCGTAACTGGATCACTACTGGTGGCCTTGTATAGTATCCGTATGAAACAGACGCTCCCAGATGTAGATCAAGACGTCTTCCTGCTGTCCTACTGCAACAATATGTATAGCGTTGTTCTTTTTATTCCATTAATGTTAATCAACGATGAACACACTGCTATATTTAATTACGAGAAACTATGGCAGCCTTTCTTTTGGTGTGCCATGACAACCGGTGGTTTGTTCGGATTTGCTATTGGATACTTTACCGCGCTTCAAGTCAAAGTCACGTCTCCCTTGACGCACAACATCAGCGGTACTGCGAAAGCGTGCGTGCAAACGGTCTTAGCAACTTATTGGTTTAACGAGACGAAAACATTCCTTTGGTGGGTGAGCAATATCATCGTCCTAGGCGCCAGCGCATATTACGCAAGGGTTAGGCAATTGAAACTCAGTAAAGAGTATAAACTAGTTCAACAGTTGAAAGTATAATAACGATAATAAAAAATACGAGAACCTTGTTAAAAATTTTATATATTTTAAAAATATTATTATTTATAAAATCTCTTTTGTAAAATCCGCTTATGTATAAAAATTAGTTTTACAGATATTTTACGGAAGTTCGAAGAAAGTGGAGAAAAAAGATTTAGAAGATATTATTCATATATATACACACGGAAAAAACAGTATGGTTAATCCATACATATAAATCTGATTATAATTAAATGTATACATAGGCCAACTATGCTATTTTTTCCGTGTACGCAAATTGACGCGAAATATTTCCTTTCTGTAATAATTATGTGTGTACATGTGACGCGCATATATAAAACAGTATTATAATTTAAAATATTGAATAATATACTTAGAAATGAAGTTTATAATATTAATCGTCCTGCTATTTTCTTGTTTTCTATATGATTATATAAGTTGAACAATCAGTTATCATGCATACAGGAGAGCTTGTAGAAAGTTCTACATAACTGAGATTACCTTCTAATATCACAGTATTGCGGTCTCCAATCAAGATTCTCGATCAGACCTTACATATTCATCAATAAATCGTACATATATTTAGAATCGCGACGCAATCCCATTTCCACGACTGTCGGAGTGACTCGACAGCGAGTCTTTCCTCCTGATAATCGCGTTAACACTCTTGATGAATAGACTGTCGTCAGTGGGTAACGAGGATATCATGGGTTGTAATCGAATACGTAATGCAGTCTCCATCGAGTGTCTTTGATTATTCTCAATCACCATACCGTCGGAAACGTGGTAATATCTGCGAAAACAAAATTATGTATTATTATTATATGATTATATTCTAACTTTTCCATCAATCTACTTGAAATTGTTAGTTTTTTTTTTTACCTGGGGTATTCTATTGCAGCAGAAACGTTCAAGGCACGCACGATAAGATTGTACAGGATTTGTCCATTGAGAAAAGCATCGTCCGAGCCGAGTATTCCACGTAACCCGCATCTTCCTTTCTCATGATGGAAAATAATAGGAACGAATGTGGATAGACTGTTCTCATTGACGTTCTTGTCTAACAAAAACCCGGCGGCAGTCATGTTTCCCAATCCTAAAGGTGAACCTAAACCTCTGCATCGTTTAAAGTCATATATTAATATGATGATAATAGTCATCTAATGAATAAAGTAAAGTAAAAGTGCCAATGCCTGGACACATACCTAAACCTGGATATTTCTATTGTTTTGATTTTTAAATACGAATATTTAAATTTTAAATATATATATTGTATGTTGAAGATTTAAATATTCGTATTTAAATATCAAAACAATAAAAATGTCTATAATTAAATACGTATTCGGGAATTCATATTTTTATGTCAAATATGTAATTAATTGCTACTAACGATAAGACGCAGACATATGTATCTTGCCAATCCGTCGCCATAACTCCAGTGTATGTTTCCTTTTTCACTGAAAAAATTCGAGTTATTACTGGATTTCTAGAATAACTAAAAAAAAAAAAATACATAAGAATTTTTATTATTAAATTTATAGTTATTATCTGAGATTATCAGGTAACTAATTAATTATATCGGTGATTAACGAGAACGGCGAATGTGTAACTCACCAGGTTGCGTATTTTGTGACAATAATAAATATAAGTGCGTCAATGTCTGAGCGACAAGAGCTTGCGATTCTATCGCGGATGCATTTCCCGCAAAAACCGGGATGCTCTCCAACACATCGATTACTGACTGCATGGAGCTCGCATGAGACGGATAATAAATTACATGACGACGTAATGTCGAACTTCCCGCGGCTATAACGATAGGTTCGTAACTCGCCAACTGCTGCAGCAGATTTTCGTGTAGAATATCGCTGTGCAGAATTTTGTACGACAAAGTACCGTTGTATAATGCTGCAAAGAAACGCGAAAAAGCTTCAATAATCACCGCAGAACTAATTATCTATAATTAGGTGAAAAATGTTGTTACAAATGCAACAAAATACACGGATGTATACCTTTCGCGCCATGCTCTGCTACAATGTCTAACGTATTCGCAAGTTCCTGCAACTGTAATGTGTCGCCTGGATTCAGAAGACCATAAAGCGTCCCGTAATCAGTATTTTTCAATACTTCGTCCACAAAATCTTTCGATACAACGAATCCTTCTCGGGCTAACCTGGCAGAAGGCTCTACAATGTCGCGCCATGACAAAGTGCCGTATGATCTTTGAGCAAATTCCAGTCCTCTTAGTAGGGCTGGCAAACGCACCTCAGCTTTCGCGAAGAAACCTGACGCATTAGAAAACTATATATATGGCCCTCACATTATATATCTCGCATATTTAAAAAATATTGTACAAACCTTCTGTTGTGTTACTTGCAAAATCGATGATAATGGGATCGGTATGATTTTTCGAGTTATGTATCATTATGTAGCCACCTCTGAAAGTAAAGTAATGATGAAAGTTTAATTAATGAAATTTACTTAATTAAATTAAAATGTATAAGTTTAGCTAATATCTTACCCTCCAAGACCAGTTTTATGAGGTGCTACTACAGTCATGCAAATAGTCGCTGCCACTGCAGCATCCACCGCATTACCTAATTTTCTCAGTATCTTGGCGCCAATTTGAGAGCAATTTGAATGATCAGTAGCAACTGCTCCATGGATACCATGAAGTTTACTCTAAAATGTAATAAAAATATTGTAAGTAAAACTTTACTATTTTTTATTCAATATTCTTCTTTTTTAGTATTTACCTGTGACATATCGTCAGTGTAAAGAATCTGTAACACCAGCATAGTAGTAATGCCAATGGTTAACGCAACAAAACAAACAATGATCAACTGTAATCCATTGCCACAGTAGCTGCATAGTTTGTACTTGTAATTTTTTTCCTTGGTTAGAGGACAGTCTTCTGTGAGACCTGCAAATTGTGTTAATTTATATAAGTTTTCTCGTTACACTTTGTAACATATGTGCAAATGTAGTGTGTGATCCTCATGTTGAAAAGTGTTAGTGCTAAAAATCTTGACAGTGATACTTTTTCTAATAATTAGAGTACATTTTTACTATGTGTGCATGTGTATATCAATGAGAAATATAAACAAAACAAGTTAATATATTCAGAGACTTACGCGTATTGTAACTCATTTTTAACCTATTTCTCCGACTCTTCTATTTTTGATCAGCTGAACCTCCATAAGTCTCATTTCTTTTCTGACGTTTCTCTCCCACTAGTCTCCATGTTCCCGTTAGTGAGGTTATAGACACGCACGTAGAAAAGAAAATAGAAAATTAGTAGTAAAAAAGATTATATAAATATAGTTGCATTCTTTTATATAGAAAATGTTCTTTTTTTATTATTTAATATCCATTTTTTCTTTTTAACATCAAGTTTTATATTTCTGTAGATAGATTTAGCTAATCAGTACACAATGGATACCCACGTTTTGAATTTATACAAGAAACATTTTAAATTTTATATCTTTATTATCCAAAATATGAGATTTTCCAAAATATGATGCATTGTTACAAGATACATATCTGATTGATATCTGATTGTTTCATTTATAAAGTCAAGATGTGCATCTTACATAAAAAATATATCTACAACTTTGTAAGGATAAAAAATACTGTTTTTAAGACTCTATATCAAATATATTTCCTAAAAAATCACTAGATGTATCATCCTCCCAGAAGTGAATACACTTCTCTCTTTGCTGTACATACAATGTATTAAAAGTACATTTAGTTAGCTCTATGGAATCAAATGAAGTATTTGGTCTTATATTATAATAGTCTTCTAAAAACTCTAACACAGACGACTTATTCTGCAAATTATTAAACAACACACGATCTTTTTTTGGCAGAATTTTTTCCAGCATGAATACCAGGTGATGATGGAAACATTGGAATTCAGTTGGTATTGTTGTTGTAATATCCAGCCAATCTTGAACACAAACAAGTGGAGTAGCGGAATGTCCCGAAAATAATGCTGGATTAGTTAGAATACCTCTAGCAGACATCACTCCCTCACATCTTGATTCTCTAAATAGAGTCTCTGCACTTTCCAAGTCTTTGGCATCACCATTTGCAATTAGTGGCAATCGTACACAATCTCTAAGGAGCTTAAGATTGTCTAATTCGATCGGCTCGTTACGCATCTCGGGAGTCCTTGCGTGGATTGTTAAGAATGAAGCACCAGCCTTTTCCAAAGCTTGACATAACATTATTGTCTTGCGCATGTCCTTTAACAATCTTATCTTTGCAGATACTGTGAATGGTTTTGGAATGCGATTTCTAATCTGATATATCAAATCGTATACCAACTCTGGTTTATTCAGTAAATCTGCTCCATATCCATCTTTCATAGCCCATCGCTGTGGGCAGCCACAATTCAAATCCACACCATCACTATACCTATTAATTATTAGATACATGATAAGTATGAAGAACAAATATTTTCAAAGTTAGTAAAATTACATATATGTGCACACACAGAAACAAATGTGAATTAGTCTTCTTATTTGATCTGGTTCTTAAGTTCCACAAGTCAAATAAATTAAAGTGTTTATAGACTTTAAGCAGGTTTATACTACTTCTAACTTACGGTGCAATCATTTCTGTAGCACTGATGAAGTCATTTATAGTGTTGGCTGCAAATTGAACAATTAATGGCTTATCTTCTTTATATGTTGTAAATTCGTTCTCCCTAGCCTTTGAGGATTGTACAAACGAATTTGCCATGATCATAGGTGTAAAACATATATCACAACCATAACGCCTCACAAGTGTTCTGAATTGTAACCTAATAACCCCCAAAGAGTAGAAAGACATATTTTAAATAAAGATCATTAGCTTGAAAAATATTACTACAACTTACTTGCTGTATCTAACCATTGGGGCACATATCTTTGTTATTTTTGGTTCTTTTAACATTGCTATTATATCAGTAGTCATTTTGATTATAAATTATTTGTGTAAGTATAAATGTAACATAAAAAGTATAGTTATAAAATAGAAAGGAAAGAGACTTCAATTCTTCTTTTCTGTTTCTATTTTTTATCCTTCAATAGATTTCGATCTTTCAGAGTTTTTCTCTTTTATTTAAGTAGATAACCATCTATTTTCTATCTTTCTATTTTTCATATGTATTATTTTGTTTTCATTGCGTTGTCCATACATTCTGTTCTTTCTGTACTGTAAATAATCATAATATACGATCAACTATAAATATCGTATAATAGGAAAAAATCTATATAATGAATAGCTGGCTTCTTGTACACAGACGCGGAAACGCTTGCCGCTCAGCAAGAAGCGGCAATAGCCAATAAGCTTCTGGCTCTTCTGGAAAAACAGCAAGTGATAAAGAACCTCTAGTAAAGAGAATCGCCACATGGTCATGTGACCAGCTAATTGGCTGGCATAAACATGTATGGATTTGGACATTGCGACGCCAATGCAGAACAGTTGGTATTTTATATATATATGGTTTTGTATTGGTATTGCAAAGCCGAGTCCCGTACATGTTTATGCCAGCCAATCGCAGAGTAGCTGCTTGACGATTCTCTTTACTAAGGTCGGTATTCATAGTCCGATCTTATATTTAAGATCATCTTAAGTACTGTTTTAAGATATCATGAACCAATCACAGAGCCGTATTCGCATCTTAAGACATTACTTAAGATGGTTTTGAAATAAGATTCGATGAATACCGATTAATGGCTCCTGCACACAGGACGCGGTAATGCTTGCCGCGCGGCGGAAGTTCGCGCGACAGCCAATCAATATGCTGCTTTCCGTAATAACCTTCTAGCTCTTACGGAAAAACAACATATTAATTGGCTGTCGCACGAACTTCCGCCGCGCGGTAAGCATTATCGCGTCCTGTGTGCAGGAGCCATAAGGCTGATATTTCACTTGTCATACGACAAGCTTTCAGTTCCGGCCTAACCGCCGTCACGACAAGACGTGTTTGAACGTGTTCGGACCTTGTGATTTTTTTTGGATCGTGTCTTGGAAATTTCCAAGACTTTACTCTCAAATTATATCATTAATCGGAAACTGGCGTAGGGGCATTACTCTTATAGAGGCCTGTAGCCATATATTGAAGGAAGGAAGGAAGGAAGGAAGGAATACGACAAGCTTTTTGGATACATTCATTGGTTGACGAACAGAGAACCTAGAAATACTCTATTCGCCAACCAATAAACGTATCCGAAAAGCTTGTCGTACGCACGTGAAATAGCACCCTATGAATACCGGTCTAGAGGTTCTCTAGTAAGTGGATTATCGCACGACACGCATTCTGTTTAAAGGTACGTCTACATTGGAAGTAAGTAGTAAGAAGTAGGAACTAAAAGTAAAAAATTGACCAACCACAGTCGAATGTGAGAAGAATAATCAACTATGATTGG